AGTGTAAAACCCCCTCAAGCAGAATGGGGTACCCATGAAAGCAGTGTTTGAGTTTTTAGTTTATTGCTGCATCCCCAAGGCCTAAACTAAAAAACATTTAGACCAGGGGTCCCCCACCCCCGGTCTACAGACTGGTACCGGCCGCACAGCAGGATGTGAGTGGCAGGCAACCGAGCAAAGCTGCATCTGTGTCTGCAGCCGCTCCCCGTTGCTGGCATCCCCCCTCAGCTCCACCTCAGATCATCAGGCCTTAGATTCTCATAGGAGCACCAGTCCCTGGTGCCAAAAGGGTTGGGGACTGGTGATTTAAATTATACCCACTCTCTAAACCATGGAAAGAACTGTAGCTATGCTTTCACCCCATGAACAAAGGCCAAGTGTGGAGCCCAGACCAGCACCCTTTTGAGACTGTAACGAGGCACCTCGATGACATCCTCAAGCTGGGCTGGTATCAATGATGGCCAAGTAGGGAGCAGGACCTCTCTCCCAACCAACGGTAACGAGGCTCCCCCCACCCCACATCAGCTAAGACCAGGGATCCCAGACCTCGCTCCCACCACAATGACAGAGGCGGTGGGTGTGGCACCCTCCTCCCCTCCTCCTGCCTAAGCTGTGCCACAGGAGGCAGCTAAGACAGAAGGCTCATGACAGGAAATTCAGGATGTCCAAGCTTAACAGAAAATCACTTATCACACCAAAAATCAGGAGGACCTCAAAGTGGATGCAAAATGACAATCAACAGATGCCTACACTGCAATGATACAGATGTTAAAACCATCTGACAAAGCTTTAAAAGCAGTGTCAGAAAAACACATCAATGAGCAATTACAGATGTGCTTGAAATAAATAAAAATATAGAAGTTTCAACAATGGACTATTTTCAGCGCAGAAACAGAAGATATGAAAAGAACCCAATGGCTATTTCAGAACATTTAGAAAATACAATAACCAAAATGAAAAACCCAGTGGACGAGCTCACAGGACGGAAGGCACAGAGGGAGGGATCGCTGAACAAAAGAAGTTTCCCAGTGTGAACACTACTGAGAAAACAGACTGGGAAAAATGAAGAGCCTCAGAGAACGGTGGGACTATATGATGACATTCACGTCATCAGAGTCCCGGAGGAAGAACCAGGCTAGAAAAGCAAGAGAAGAAATAATCCCTGAAAACTCCCCAAATTTGGCAAAAGATGTAAAAGCCTGCAGAGTGAGGAGGCTGAACATGAGTCAAACAGGATAAACCCAAAGAAATCCACGCTGAGACACAGCAGAGTCCAACTCCTGAAATCTGAAGACCAAGAAAAATCCTGCAAAGCGGTGAGAGAAACGGCAGCGAGACGGCAGCGGCCTTGTGCCACAGAGGGGAAAGCGCCACAGGGCAGAGGTTTCGCCTCGGAAACCACGGGGACCAGAGGAAGCAGCACGTGTCTCTCAAGTGCAGAACTCAGACCCAGTGACAGCGCTCCTGAGGGGTGAAGGGGCTCAGAAATTCGCACGAAGAGAACAAAGGAGTCTTGGAGCGTCAGGGAGAAAGAGCAGCATAAGGAAAATACGGGCAAGTACGGTAGACTTTCTACTCCCCTTGAACTTTCACGATTATCTGTGATGTCTGAAGCCCAAGTTGTTAGGAAGACCAGGTGCTGTAGGCGTAAAAAATAAAAATAAAAATAAAATAAATCGTAAGCTGACAAGGTCCTTGCAATCTGTGAGGTCAACCAAGAGTTGCCTTGCCTAAAAAAAAAAAAAAGAAAAAAATGAAGGCCAATTTGTAACACTATATGCTGGAGTTCCCATTTCCCAGTGCATGTAGAGCAAATACTTAAGACAATCGGAGAGGGTGAAGAGACACACAGGAAAGCTAATGGGCCAGAAACAATCAAAATGTCCCTGCATGGATGACTATAACGGTCTGGAAAAAATAAACTGTAGTATATCTATTCCGTGGACTAGTACTCTGCAATACAGAAGAACAAATTACTAATATACCCAACGAGTTGCTGAGTGAAAGTTATATACTATATAATTCCATTTATACAATGTTGCCAAAGCGACAAGTATAGAGGATAAATCAGTGGTTGCAGAGGTTAGGGACGGTGGGGGTGAGGCGTGCTGGGTTTGACTCTCAAGGTCTCTGTGGTGATGGGATAGTTTTGCACCTTGATTCCAGTGATGATCAGTTATACAAATCTACACGTGATAAAACAACACAGAAGTATAAGCAGGCGCTGGACCAATGTCAATTTCCTAACTTTGATATGTTCCGTTAGATGTAACCACTGGGGAACAGGTGAAGGGCACATAGACCCTCTGTGCACCCTTTGCAACATTGTGTGGATCTATATTATTTCAAAACAAAAAGGAAAATAAAGCAAACAATACACAGACTTGGAGAAGTTATGTGTAATGCCAATAACTGACAAAGAAAATGCACAAAATATACACAGGTCTGATAAGAGAAATAACTTTGTCGAGAATTTTTATAACAAATGGATGCTGAATTTTGTCAAGTGCTTTTTCTGCATTATTGCAATAATTATATGACATTATCCTTTATTTTGTTAACGTGGGGGATCACATCGATTGATTTGCTGATGGTGAGCCATCTTTGCAGCCCAGGAATAAATCTCACTTGACTGTGGTGTGTATTCCTTATAATGTATCGTTGAACTCAGTTTGCTAATATTTTGTCGAGGATTTTTGCATCTATGTTCATCAGGGATATTGGTCTACAATTTTCTTTTCTTGTGGTGTCCTCGCACAAGGTTTCGGTATCAAGGTAATGCTGACTTAGTAAAATGAGTTTGGAAGAGTTTTCTCCTCTTCTATTTTTTGGAATAGTTTGAGAAGGATTGCTACTAATCCAAGAGCTTGGGACACAGAAGATGCTGTGTATTTTCTGCTTATAAATTCCCACTGGTTAAATTTAGTTTGTACTTAGACCATGTGGCCTTAGCAGGGTGTGTCTTTGATCTCTTTGCACAATGATGGACAGCTATTAAGAGGTAAATGAGACCCTCACAAAGTTCACGTTAGAAAGAAAAAGGAACAAACTCCTCTTAAAGAGGGGGAATCAGGAAAGGCTGTGTCCTGTTATCGAGCAGAAGGAACATTTGGGCTCGAGGAAATCTGTAAGAAGAAAGGCAAGGCTGAGACAGCCTAAAGTGACTCCCCAGTGGGGAGATGCTTTTTTGAACCGCAGACAGAGAAGCCACAGTAAGAGCATGGATACCCTCAGAACCGGGCAGCCATGCCCAGGGTACAGAACACAGAAGGGAACACATGGCGTGCTGGCTGGGTCCCTAGGTGGCACGGTTACCAGTGGGGACGTGGGGGCGGGGTGGGGCTCTTCCCTGTCACCTGGGACAGGGTTCGACCCTGGTGGTGCTTGGCACGTGTTGAACGCGTGTCCATTAAAAGGTACCCAGTTAGGACGATGTGGTCACGAGCCAGCTGGGTCAGTGTCGGGAGAGCACGTCCTCACGACAGTCCCCCACCGGGACGGTGGCGTGTGCAGGGGTGGAGGAAGAGCCCTCCCTGCGAGGCAGAGCCCCAGTCTGAGGACAGCTGCTCACACGAGCCGTGGAGAAGTTTGTCATCAGAGACCACCCTCGACGGAGCCGTGGGGAGGCAGAAATAGGCCCAAAGAGGAAACAGAACCAAGAGGCAGGAGTGGTCCGCACGAGGGAGAGGCACCGGGGTCAGCATAGCCGCAAACCACTGTCCAGAGCTGAGGCCGGCACAGGTAGATGCCCTCCGGATATGGTGAATACCTGTGTTAATCAATCTCTCGATAGTTTTCTCCCAGCTGAGTTTATTTATTTATTTTTTAGGCGAGGCAACCATTGGCTGACCTCACAGATTGCAAGGACCTTGTCAGCTTACAGTCCCTTATTTTTTATGCCTACAGCACCTGGTCTTTCTAGGCGGTCTCCCATCCAAGGACTAACCAGGCCTGACCCTGCTTAGCTTTCGAGATCAGACGGGATTGGGCATGTTCAGGATGGCATGGCCGTTGACTCCCAACTGAGTTTAGATTCATAAATTGGAAATAGTGCAAGCTGACACAACTCTTGAGTCCCAGTGAAACAGAAGCAAAATTTTCTTATCGGCTCACCTTCCCTCACATACCCTGTGTTGTTGTCACAGACTGTACCTCTGGGACAATGTTTTGCCAGAGATACTGTTAGTGCTGGGGACTGGACCGTGTTCCAAATGCTGTGGCTGCAGAGGCCAATGCTGTGGTCATCTGTGATGTCCTCTTAACTGCTGGGATTCTTATTTTTTGTTGTTCTTTTAAGTGAGGCCTATAAGAGACTGGCGTGGAACTTTGGGATTGGGTGGCATGAGTTTGCGGGCAAACCACCTTGGGGCTCAAACCAAACTATTCTCCAGCATGACTATCAGTTAAAACTGTCCACCTGCCTGCCGCTCCTATTCTGTTTGTTGATGCTAAACCTGGCTGGGAGGAAATGGGGTGTTATTTACTGCATAATCTCCCCAAAGTACAACACCCACCCTCACCTTTACTGTACAGGCACGTTGCTGAGGATGGCCAGGACACTGTGAAACACTAAACTGGAGCTGCAGTGTGTGCACATGGGGTGGGGCAGAGCGAGGACGCGAATCCATGACGATGGCCTAAGACCCAGCAAAGCCTCTAGAGAATGATCACAGCTACTTGAGCCCAAGGACAGGTTAATAAGAGATGGAGGGAGAAAGCCCCGTGGCTCTGGAACACCTGGGAGATAAGAGTAAACCAGACATCTGGTGAGGGGCAAGTCTGCCCTCAGTCTGCAAAGTGTGCCCTCAGTAGCCCACGACAGGAGAGAAGCGGAGTCACAGCTCCTGTAGACCGGCTGCTAGCACTGCGGGGCCTCCCCCACCTCTCTGGCCGAGCAGGTGCACAGGCGCTGATGGGTGTGAAAGGGGTAGGCTGAGCTTTGTGCTGACTACAGCCGCTCACCCTTCCTACCTACTCTCCTCAACTTCGGTGCGCTCCTCCAAAAATGCGTCCTTACCGCCGTCATGCAACTCGTCACTGGCTATGGCAGTCACACCTCTACACACTCTCTCCATTCTCACTGACCCTGTGATCACTCTGCAATCTCTCGGCCCACACACCTTACTCAGGAATAGCCCAGTTCTCCCCTCCCCACCCTGGACGGCTTCCACAGTCTCTGTTGTGACCCACCCCACATCTTCTGCCAGGACACATGGAAAAAGCTCAAGTCCCTCAGCATGGCTGGCCTCCCATCGCCACCCCCAACACACACAGCGGCTAATGTAATCCCCTTGTTCCCCCATTTCCCTAATGTACACCTAGGCTACAGCCAAGACCACTCCTCACCACCCCCACAGAAGCCATGCTCCTCTGTGCCCCTGGAGGACTCTGCCAATAACTGAGACCTCCTGTGGGCCTGGCCTTTCTTCCCCAATCTCCCACGTACTTGGACTTGCCGACAGCGCTGTCCCCCAGGCAGATGATCTTCACGTTGTCGTCGGCATCGTATTTCTCTTGGTCTAGCTCACAGGGTTTGGCTCTGTCCTCGGCCATTGGCTTCTGGCTGCAGACAGGGGCTTAGCTCAGGGGAGGGGGGTCTTGTCACTGTCTGAGAAAATCAAGAAGAGGCTATTGTTAAAGAGAAGTCCCCTCGACCAAATGCACTTCTCTCTCCTCCTGGACAGGGGGGACCAGGGTACAATGAGCTCATGAGAGAGGTGCCCACAAGCACGCTTCTCTATTCACTACCACCACGTGCTAACCTGCAGTTGTAATCTCATCCCCACAAAGACCCTCTTTGGGGCTTTACTCTGTGTCATCTTACACAGCCGTGCTCAGGGCCACATCTCCTACACCCAGCTGGACAGACAACATTCTGAAGCGATGCTGAAGCTGTACAAGTTTTACACACACAAGTTTTCTCATTTATAAAACAGGGACAAAAAATAGAACCCATGTCTCATGATCGATGTGACACACTGTCTGGCAAAGACCATGCTGTAGCCTGAGCTCTCATCACTGAATGACAGACCACACAGCCACAGACATCAGCATTTATGACAGTGGTCTCCAACCTTTTGGCACCGGGGCCCGATGCTCCTACGATAATCTAGTGCCTGATGACCTGAGGCCGTGATGCTGGCACTGGGGAGCGGCCGCAAATGCAGCTGAATGCAGAATGCCTAATCTGCATTCCCGATCCTCTATCTCATGCCTCTCACCTCTCCAATTTTCCACCTTACTGCAGTCAGCAGCTGCCTCTTCCTCTCTCAAGGTGTGCATTCTCCAAACCCGCTTCTCGAGGGTTACTTCAAACTCTACTAGTTTCAAGTGTCTCCTAAATCAGAGATCCCTAATCCCTGAGCCGCAGACCGGTGCTAGTCCGTGGTCTACTAGGAACCAGGAGGGAGAGCAGAGAAGCTTCAGCTGCATTTGCGGCCGCTCCCCAGCGCCAGCATCACAGCCTCAGGTCATCAGGCACTAGATTCTCGTAGGAGCATCGGGCCCCGGTGCCAAAAGGTTGGAGACCACTGTCATAAATGCTGATGTCGGAGCTGTATTGCAATCGCCTCTCTCAGTGCCAGACTCAGATATGCAATTGCCCACCAGATCTGGACTAGCCAACTATCTACACAGGCATAATAACATGCGAAAACACAAATTCTTAAGTCTGGCCGATGTCACATTCCCCATCTACACAAGACATCGGCAGCCACCCAGTGCCGATACCTGGGTGTAACATCATCTGTGGCTCTGTTCCGCCACCCTCACGCCCAAATGTAACCTTGCAAACATTACTGAGAATGTCCCAAGGCCAGCCTCCTGAACTGACTAGGTACACAGAGAGGATGCACGGGCAAGGCCCCAGCTGCACTAGCACTCACTGAGCATTCACCGTGAGCAGAACTCGCACTCTTCACAGTCTACTGTGCTGGAACTATGACAGGTGTGCACGCAGGTCGGGGGGCAGAACATGCCAACTGGACCCCGAGTGTCTTTGTGGCCCCGCGCGGGGCTCAGCCTTGCTTACCGAGGTACCCTCAGCCTCAAGAGCAGTGCCTGGTTAATGCCAGGTAATCAGTAAGCGTAACGAGGGCTGCCCCCTCCACCTCCACCCTGTAGCCGACGCGACCCGCTCCAAAGTCAAACCCGGCCGCATCGCGCGGCGCTCCAAGACCTTCAATGTTTTGTCGTTGTTGTCGTGATCCAGCGGGCAAACTCTTTCATTCCACAAACACCGTGGGAGCACCGGACACGTCTGCGAACCGCCTCCGCTCGGCGCCGGGCCACCGCCCGGGCCGTGCGCTCGTCCGGCCTAGGGCCCGAGGGCGGCCTGGAGGGGCGGCTCCCACAGCCAGCCCGCCCCCCCGCGCC